GCTGCCATTTTGGAAAGTTCATTCTGCAGAGTTAAGGAAATATCTGTGCAGGTGTTGGGCAGACAGAACAGAGGTGAGGGCATGGGGGAGACAGGTCTGGTCCTGGAGAGCGCAGGAGAGGCGTGGTTGGGTTAACACTGGAGAGAGAGGAATGGTGGGTGCGGGTGCAATGAGATGTTGAAGAACAACTGATATTAACTGCAGTAAATTAAATGGAGAACATAATATATGAAGGGAATATCAAGTTAACACAGCAAGTGTGGAAAAGGCAGTACCAGAGACAAAGAGCTCTCACTTCATCAATCACTGCATTTCACTTATGGCACCCTCCCTCTGGGAAGGCAGCGCCAAATTCTTGAGAGACTGGTGTTTGTGCTGTGGGTGTTCTAAGTACAAAACGGTATCTTATGGCTTCCGGATTTCAAGACTGATAGATTATTTCTCTTATGTCCCATGTCTGAGTTCCCAGACAACAGAATCATTCGCTTGTGGGGGGAGAGCTATTGTGGTTAACATCTCAGGGTTACTCTAATAATCTCAAATGACAATGGGGAATTCACTAAAACAAATAAAAGAGAAATTTCACTCAGAAAAATACATATGCCATATAGAACCTTGTGGGGGTCTTGGGGGCAATGTTACTGCCAACTCATCTAACAGTTGTATGTGAGTGTGCTGAAACTCCATGTTCAAGTCACTTAAACACGTATGAGAACCAGGGTCCAGGCTGTGGTGCTCCAGACATGGACGGGAAGATGAAAAGCCTGACTACTGCCTCCGACAGGATCAGTCCAGCCGGGGAGCACAATGGACACGGACACGATCATGCACCATCAAGACAAGAATCAAGTTCAATTCATGCCTGAAGAGGAGAGCAGATAATCTTTAAAAAGTGGAGGGGTTCCTGCCAAGGCTTAGCAAGATTCCTTCCAGGCAGAAAAGCAGAGAAAGTTACTTCTGGCAAAGGAGACTCGGGTTGGTGGCTGGGTGTGAGGCCTAACAAAGCACGTGTGGAGGGCTCCAGGGTCATCTGTCAGAAGCTGTTCCCCTTCAGCAGCTAAGAGGTATAGCTAAAAAGGCAGGTGAGTTGTCATTAATGATCATGGGGAAAACTGGGAAGAGGAAACTGAGGTCAGGAGATCACCACCAAATGCACTCTATTTTAGAAGAACAAAAATAATTCAAAAAGCACTTGGAAATTCTATCTCCCATGAACGAAAAGGACAAAAAATATGTTTCACTCCAGCATTGAATACAGAATAACAGACTGCCTACTCTCAGAAATGGATTGAATTTTCTAATTCATTAGGGATTATTTACATAATAGGAAAATGAATAAATCTGAATAATCTCTCTAGAATTGTTGTTTCTCCATCCTGTTTTGCAGGGTAGGGGGAGGCTACCATTACAGTCTCATTAAAATACCATTAAAATTGGTATTTTAATGAGAGTATAAAGTTCTAAAAGTCCTATCAATTTCTCCCAAAAGCGTAGAGCTTTTCCTTTCAGTGACCTTCATTTGACTTAACTAGCAGAATAACTTTTTTTCTGAGGCTTTTTTCGTGTGTGTTAAAATACCAAACGATATGCTGCCCCCAGAATGTTGTTGTTATTACTAATGCTGATAATAGCCCTGATAAGACATATTTACCATTATGACTCATTTTGAAATAACAGGTCATTGGCTTACAGTCCTTTTGAAAATAAGCAGAATAAACGAACATAACTTCTACAACAGAGAGAGCAGCTGCACCCTTAATGGAACCTGGTCACAAAACACAACAAAAGCAAAGATGAAACTCAAATGAGACACCAGGCCACAAGCCATAGCTGACTGAACATGCCACAGGATGAAATTTCACTCACCGAGGAAACCACATGCGTTTCCATGTATATTGTATATTTTTAAAAGCAATTATTTTATATATAGAATGTAATTTAAGAAAAAAAAAACTCCATCTGTAGACTTGTAAACAGGGAGTACAAAGGGGTTCCTTTGCAGACATGAACCCACATGCATAAATACAAAGCCTATTGACCAAGATCATTTCCTGTCTCCTAAGCATAAAAAAAAAAACCTAATTCAAGGCAATAGTGAGCTGTAAGGGCTCAGAAGCAAAACGTGCACATCATCAGCCTTCTAATAAATAAAAGTGCGCCATGTATAATAGAAAACATGACGTTTCCTATGGAAACCTATTTTGAGATGCAACCATTTAAAGGCAACTGAGAGCTCAAAACCAAGTTCAACCAAACAGAATCAGAGGCCAAGCAAAGTACAGAAATGGACAAATATATTGGAGAATTAGTGGATCTGTGCTCAACCGATACTCCAGATCAGCAAATTCATGCTGAATTCAAGCCAGTGATGTGCCATGAGGTCACTCAAGAAACCAGGCAGAAACCATCGGCCAGAAGAAATAAGAACAATGTCAAAGGCAGGTGTGAGATGTGGAAGGGGTGACCCTGTGAACCTTGCTGCCATGAGGCAGGATGCTCCTGAGGAGCTCTCTGCACAGGCTGGCTGAATCACATGACATTTTTAGAAGTATATCAGCCAACAGCTGTGCCACACGGGCTACAGCCCAAGCTGAGTCACATCTAGTAACGGATCTGAGTTCATCCTTAGACGACATGACCAGAAGGATCTGAGAATCAATGGTAGAGACATACCTGAATGAATATTCCATTTCATTCCTTGGCAGCAAATCTTCAGCTTTGTACAACATAAGTATTGACAAAGATACACCCAGGCACCCTATTTGAAAGCCTGACTGCATAATTGCATCTAATGGAGAAAAGCAGGCTCCGTTTCGCTATGATAGGTCATTGTTTGGCTCGCTAACCGATGCTTCTGAGACCCAAAACATACTCTAGTATAACCGACAGCACCGAAATCTCCACTGATGACTTGCTCATTTCATAGTATTCATAAAATAACCCCATGGGATACAGATGGTAGTCCCGTTCCCATCGTGGGGTGGTCTGTTCTGCTCCCAAAACTGTGGTACCATTAGATTCATGACCTAGCTGCCAAACAGATCAAATTATAAGGCAGGATATTATTAGACCAAGGTCATAAAAGTATTACTGACATTTCAAGCTGAACACATCATCTTCCCAAGAAATTAATTTCTTGTTTTCAGGATAAATTTCTTTTCATTGCTGCCTCCCTACCCCCAAATATTGTTAAAACTAGTCCTGACTACGTACCTTGGGTTTACCAAAATTGTAACAACTACTAATTTACCTCCTACCTCCTTTTCAGGTGGGCATTTTAGCTTTTAGAAGATGCCTTCCCTCATTTATGTTTTTCCTATTTGTCTGCTATTATCCGCCATGGCCTTTCCAGTCTCAAAATCATCAGAGAAAATAAGTAAAAGAAAAAATACAGGGTCTGTGAGCTGGTGATAAGTGCTGCGGAGGAAAATAAAGGAGGGCGAGGAATGTGTGGTAGGGAGGAGTGGGGTTGGGGCAGTGACCTTTGAATAAGGCAAAGATGGAGGCAAAGGGGTGGACAGAGGAGGGGCAGAGGGAACAGTGATCACAGGCCTGGAAGCCCTCACGCTGGAAAGACAGCATGGAGACTGGTGTGGGCCAGAGAGAATAGGAAATAAGTGGTGGTTTTGGGGGTGGAGCCTAAGAGACTGAGGATGGGGGCATTTTTCCCTCTGAAGGAATTGCGGAGCCATGGAGGGTCACCAAGCAGAAAAGTGATACTCTAACGTTGGATCAAACAGGTACAAGACCCTAATTTAAGCTGAACAAATCAAGGGCCAAAGAAGTGACATGTCACCTCAAAATCAGTGCAAAGCTTGAAAGAAACACAGCCTCGACTCGTAGCCCAGTGCTCTGCCCCTCCTGGATGCTGTCTTAAAAGGTTATCTTTTTTCTCACTCAGAGGCTTGTTGGCCAACTGAATGCTTCCCTTTTTTCAAATGGAAATTTGTCCTGAAATGGAATCGGAGTTGGCAGTGAAACAAGGCATGGGCCTGTAGCCTACAGAGCTATTGTCCCTGAAAGCAACAGCTGGCGCGTGGTTTACTCGTGGAGTTTAGCAGAAGAGACAGAGCAACAACAGACAACTTAGCGTCTGGCTGAGCTTCCGCTGACTGCACTGCACGTTTGGATGAATTTCAAATTTGGACAGTGAGGCAGCTTCACACGAAAGGCAGGTGTATACATCATACATGCCCACACGTCTGTATGCACACACACATGGACACACACAGAGTACATGATGTGACTTCGGAAGAGCTGCCCCTGCTAGTTTTCCCACTGCCTCTGATCTCAGTGTTAACCTTTAACTGGCCATGCTCCCAGGTTTGCTACGAGATTTCTTTGCAATGGAACATGCCCTTCGCTTCACAAACTTTCCCCACCTCTTTCAATAACATTAGGGGAAGAGCAGGGAACTCTGGGAAGTGGTGGGGATATGGACTCGAGATACCCTTGAATCTGAATCCACACTTCATGGCTTATTTGTTATTTAACTTCATTTACATTCCAAATGCAATTGTTGCAGATCTCAGAAGATGATTTACACTCACTGCTATGGCAGAAAGTTGCGGTTAGTAGACCCACCACTGGATCCTCTTAATCAACACGTTCTTCCAATAATTCAGATATTACTGTATCACAAATGCCCATTTCTATATTTTGATATCTGCTTTTCAGTATAATTATCTTCCTTCTTTATTCTCTAAAACTTATGATTTTAAAACATTTTTCTGAGAAGTGGTCCACAGGCTCTTTACTTATGATAAGTTTATAAAAAGATCCTGGAGATCTAAACCACATTTAAATCCTGAGATAAACTCAACTCTATCATACATGGCTAGGTTTTGTCTGCAAATACTTTGTTCAGTAATTTTTGCATCAAACAACAAGTTCCTACTGTATAGCACAGGGAACTACATTCAATAACTTTTAATAGCCTATAGTGACAAAGAGTATGACAAGGAATATGTATATATGTATGTATAAATGATTCACTATGCTGTACACAAAGAATTAACACAATACTGTAAACTAACTATACTTTCAACAAAAAAAGTTGAAATAATATTGGGAGACGAAATTTCCACTGCCTAGGCTGCTGTCCGGATGAAACGATTCAAAGCAGGCCAGGTATTAGCAACCCCCCTGACACATCAAAACCCCATGTGGGGTTTTCCTTTTGAGCAGCAACAGGCTAACCGGCTGTGGTCACCTGTAAATAGGGTTGAAGTCACTTAGACCCTTGGCTTGGGAACACCATGGCCACAGGGGTGGGGGTCACTGCAGCATCTACGAGAATGACACGGACAGCCTGCTGCTGAAGCTGCTCCCCAGGCCAAAGCCCGGAGCGCTGCAGGCAGGTCTGAGGTCCAGCTGGGAGTGCGCAACTCCACAGCCACTCGGAGCCCTGCGGTGCGGGTGGCACTGGGACCGCGCTCGTCCATCACTCTCCCTGGCACCCAGACTCGGGAGTCACCTGGGGGAATTTTTCTCTGCCTCATGCTTCCTGTCTCAGCCTCTTGTGGAATCCGGTCCATGCCCCAGGAAAGCAGGGCTTTTACCCTCTGGGACCCAAATCCTTCACTGTATGGATCCAGGATGAGACTTCCATGTTAACTCACCTGGTGCTCCCTTATTGTGCTGAACTGCCCTCCCCCGTCGATGGCATTAGGTCGAATTAGAAGTCCCGACTTGCTTGTCCTTAGCTAAGACTCTGAGCCTCTTGCTCAGTCTTCCTGAGTGGAACCACTCATCTGTGGCAGAAG